CCCCTTTCTGCCGCCATCAGTTTCACTGCTCTAAGTGCTTCATAAAAGCGAAATCAGACAGTATTCGCCCTTTTGTGACTGTCTGTGTCACTGAGCATCACGCCCGCAGGGGTCACCCACGGGCAAGTGTCAGAATTTCCTTCCTTTTTTTCAGGCTGACCCGATATTTCATTCTGTGCATTTACCACGTTTTGTTTATCCATTCGTCCCCCCGAAGGGCACTTGGGTCATTCCCACATTGGACTATTGTGAGTTAATCACTTTTCGAATCTAGCAGTCACACACTATTCCGAATTACCTTGTTGAGGAGGCGAGAGAATTAAAAGGTTAATAACGCCACCACCAGAGACTGCACTCTGCTGATCAGGACGCCTTCAGAACAAAGGAAGGTTTCTGCTGGGATTGCCAACAGCCCGGTCCCCACACCTGTGAAGGGGAAACAGGAAGCAGGAGTCATTCCCTGTGGCTAAGACCATGGGGAACCTAAGGATTAAAGGCTGGGAACTTTCAGCACATTCTTAGCTTCTCAGGCCAGGTCCTTTCTCCTTCCTCGCTGTGTGTCCACATCAAAGGAAATGGGTAAACACAGTCTTTAAAACTGCACCTCGCAGGAACGAAGGCAGGACATATAAACCGAGCTCCCTGAGCACTCTGGGTCCCTCTCAGTGGCCTTTCCTCTGTCTCTCGCTGTGCCTCTCACTCTGCCTCTGAGAGGAGCCCACACTCTGTCTGGGGAGTGTCACCCCTTTCCTAATGAACTTTCCTTTTGACTCCGACTTCGGCGCGTGTGCCGAATTCTTTCCACACTCCGCCAAAGGACACTCTTCTTCTCTGGCTACGCGGCTTGGTCTCCGCGTCACTTGGGGCAGTGTCCCTGTCCTGCATCGCGGTGAACAGCCATGTAGGACACGAGGGTCTCAGTACTTCCGTGCAGTGGCTCCTTTAACCTTCCCCACGGGAGGGGCGTTCCCCGTTGGACAGTGAAGAAATGGAAATTTGGAGGGTGGAGAGCTGCTCGGGATCACACACTGGACATCCCGGGGGTGGGGAGCAAGGGGAGAGTCAACCAAGCCTTCCGACCCCCCAAATTCTTAACTCGAGACCTTCTGGTATTTCAGGGGTCAACCATAACCACAGCGCTTTATAAAATTTGACTTTCCCTTATCCACTCTTTTTGTTGTCTATTTCCCATTTCCCGTGAGATGATGACTAGAATCTTTAACAACAAACAAACAAACACAAACAAACAAACTGCTTACTGCTTACAGGCAGCAAAGGAGAGGAAGAAATGGCGCTGGGGACGCGGTGTGTCACCTTGTCAGGATAAGCAGCCCTGGGCTTGAGCCGTGGAAAGAGGCCTGCATTTCTCTGTTACAAGGAAGAATTATTGAAAGAGATTCTGCTATCACCTGTCATTTTGTGTATCCTCAAGGTTTGTGCCAGAAAGCAGATATATCTGCTCCTGTGCCCAATCGTTGTTAAAATAAATAAATAAACAAACTTCGGTGCATACCCTGCCTGTTAGAATCGACCCGAGGGAACTGGGAATGGTTAAAGCAAGACGATAAGAAACAAAAAACAAAAACAAAAACCCACAAAAAAACAAAAACATAAACTACAAAACAACCCAGGAAAGGTTACAAAGCAGAAGTGCCTAAGAAAATGAGGGCTCTTCCTATGCTGGGGAAAAGCCAGTTACAGGAGCTCTCTGGGAACAGGTGTTAGGCATCTGATCACGTGATCTTATGGTCACGTGACGGACTACGAGCGCTGCCCAGCTTTCCTGTTTGGGCCTTGAGGATGGAGCGCCAGGAACATGAGAAGAAAGAAGAATTTATGGGTTCGTTTCCCTTCTTCTCATCTCTCACTTTTCCACGAGTTCTT